TAATGCGACTGTTTGGTTCGTGCGTCCTATGGGGGAGACTCCACCTGCTCGAAACAGGCGCCAAAAACAGCCAATATCTACTCCACAGGGGGGGGAGGGGGGGGTGCGAGAACCCGCGCCGACCGGCACAACAATGAATAAAAAAACGATCACTTAGTGAACGCTCAGGGCCGTTTCGTAAACGCCACTTGTCTTCTCTGGGTGGAATTTCTCCCCTGAGGCGTGCCGCGATGTGGCGTGGGACGCCTGGGCACGGCGGGCGGGCGAAACGTGTCCGCGCCCACTGCGGCGAAGTGCAGCCAGAACGTCGATGGCCCCCTCCACCCCAGCCCCAAAGTTGGAAGCGGTGCGCGCGAGCTAGCGCGCGAGGGCCACACTGTGGATGCTTCCACTTTGGACCGGGGGAGAGGGGGCGGCACCATGGTATACACCATGGTTTCTCCAGCACCACGTGGCATGATCCTCGTGCGGTGGGTGTGGACACCTCTTGTCCCGCCACCGTCGGATGTCAGATATCACGCGTGCGCACCCAGCTGGCCCCCCTCCCCGCGTCTTCTCCCCACCTCCCGAGTCGGGCGGCAAGTCGATCGGCCCCTGCTGGCCTTCGGACTGCTGCCCGTGCCGCCCACGGCTGGCCGCCCCCCCCCCGAGGCGGAGTCCTTGCGTGTTTTTGTGTTCTGCGGGGAACTGGCATAACCGGTGAAGTGCCGCTCGTGTCCACGAGCCTCCCTTCGGGCTGGGCGAAAGGGGGGGATCGCAAAGGGGGGGGGGGTGAGAATCAGCTCGCGCAGCTGATTTTCCCGGCGCCTCCCCGCGCCGGAGGCGGCTATGTATCGAGGAACGGGACCCTCGGTGCAGCCGAAACCAGCTGCACGCAGCAGATCTCGTAAGCCCCCCTTCCCCAATCCCCCCCTTTCGCCCGGCCCGATCCCTCCTCGCCTCGTTCGCCAGCGGCACGTCGACGCTGGATATCCCCGGGCCCCAGCCCAACAATATGCGTCCGCGCCTTCGCCCCGCAGCTACTGTTTGGTGCAGCGGGGAGGCGCGCCTGCGCCCCCCCCCCCACACGCGGACCCTGGAGGCGCCACAGCTCGAGTGAAGTCGGCGACGGACAAGCCTCCCTTTCGTAAACCTCCCCTTAGCGAAAACGGCCTGGGGCCGAAACCGACGGGCCTGGACCCGCAAAAACGACGGCCGCGACGGCCTCTCGCGAACCGAAAACGGCCAATTCCTCGATCGACCTGTCAGGGTAGGAGGTCTGTCCACCCCCGATTAAGTTAAGAAAACCGACAGCACCTGGAATTCCGGCGCGGGGAGCAGCTAGTTGGCCCACCCGGCCCGGGCGGGACCTGGCGTTCGTTTTGTTTGGAGATTGTGAGAGATTTGAGCATTCGTTTTGGCAATCCAGATCTTTATTTCCTGCAGTCGACCATGGCGCGTTCCATGGTGCAAATGCAGTCGCAGACGCATCACTCCAGCCAACAAAACCTGAATCACATCTGCATGTCACCCGCACGGCTTTAACAACACACGGCTATCGCAGATATTATCACCGGGGTGCGATCGCACCGCCATTTTACGAGACCTGCCACGATCGAAACTTCAAACAGACACACACCCTAGTGGACGGATGGGCAGCATGGACGAGAACAGAAAGGGGAAGGCAGGAGGACAAGCAGCAACGGCAGAGAGAAAGCAAAGGACGATCGGCAGCACCTCCTTTGTCCTCCTCCCACCTCTCCCCGAGAGGGAGCGATACGCGGGGACTGACCCAGGGGTGCGAAATATCAACCAGGCATCGGCAACACATCGCCGATATGTCGGCGATACGCCCCCCGACAGGAAAACCGTACGCTCCTGGGCGGACAACTCCCGCAGCTGCTGTCTCTAGGGGCTACTCGGGTCGCCCTCTTTCACCAAAACACCAATACTTCAAGACGCCTTGCCACCCGTAGATGTCCAGAGGCACATGAGGGGGCCAAGGACCTCCCTGCAGCCCCTCGGCCGACGAAAACGGCTGCAGTGAGGGGTCCAACGTTCAGTGCGGGCGCGGCCGCAAGAAACCCTCGCAAGAAACCCAACCCTGAGAACCCGTGCGCGAGGTGCACCTGAAGGGAAACCCAGAGCGCCCTGAACGCAGCAACTCCTTCGACGGCTGCGGGAAGTCACCGCGCAGCGCGAGGAGCGAAGAAATCCAGGACACCCTGACGAAAAGCACATGGTTCCTTGATGCGCGCCCCCACTGCACCTCCACCTCTTGCCACCAATCAACCAATATAGTCCAGGACTCGCAGACATGGAGTGGCGACGCGTGGGTCAGCGACGGGTCCCGTCTCGGCACGGAACCGGTGCGCTCCGCCGCCAAGTCAGGCAGCACTGGCCTCATGCTTGTAACCAGCCTCGAACTTATCCCTATCCCTAAGATGGGCGAGCAACAAGCGGGGACAATCTTAGGGATAGGCCCTCAAAAACGAAGGGAATCCTTAAGATCGGCATCGAGGTGAGGTGATGTCAAACATAGGGATAGGGATATGTTCCAGGCTGGTAAGCTTGGGGGTGACCTTCCCCGACCCATGGATCTCGCGCCAACGCGCAAAGCCCGCGGCTCCCTAATCCGTGTCGGGGCGTGCCCGACATACGCCAATCCACCACTCCCTCGCGCTCCTCCCCCCCCCTGAGGGGCAACGGTAGGGGGGGGGACTGGCATAGAGGGGGATAAATCGATCTGGAATCAGCGATACAACGTTGACAGATCAGCGCCAGGCCCCCGATAGCGAACCCGCACTTTCCTGGGCAGGCTGGGGCTATCGGGCCCCTATTGGCGATCAATAGGCGATTGGGGGTCGATGCGTCCCCCCCCTATGCCCACCCCCCCTATCTCGAGGATCTTCTGACCCGGGTCAATCCAGACCCGGGTCAGCAGGAAACCAAAAACTGCAATGCAGGCAAAACAAAAACTGCAACGCAGGTCTTCGCAAAACCCGGGTCAGCCAATGATAGGCGCGGCCGCCTCGCGGCCACGAGCGGCTCGCGAACCCGGGTCAGCCCGAGGGGGCCTCCGCAGGATCCTGCAGGATCCGGCGCCCTGGCTGACCCCCGTTTGCGTTGATCCCCCGTCTCGAGGCTGCCGACTGTCCTTGCCACTGACCTCCCCAGCAGGAGGCGCCCGGTCTCGGCGGAGATGCCCAGGACCCGCAGCTCCTTCAGCACCTCCATGTTGGACTTCGGCGCCCCAGCGGGCGGCCGCGGGTCGCTTCCTGCGGCGGCGGGCGGGGGGGGGAGGGGAGAGGACGCTGACGTTCAGTCGGGCGTGTCCCCCTACAGGGGGATTCTCGACGAAAAATAACAAATACTCTAAAAATGCTCAAGAGATGGCCAAAAAATAGTCAACAAATAATCCCAAGACTATTTGTTAACTATTTTTGAAGATTCCCCCTGTAGAGGGACAGGCCCGACTTAATGCTGACGCACGCCCTGCCACCCAGAGGAGAATCTGCGGGCCTCCTGTAGATGGGGTCCGAGCAGCTGGGGTCGGAGGATCGCGCCGCATCGTCGATGCATCGGCGATGTGTCGGCGACACGGGCGATGAATCGGCGACGTCGACGTGAAGCACATCGTGCTCCACATCGAGCCGCATCGGCGATGCATCGGCGGTGCTGCGCGATCCTCCGACCCCTATCTGGGAAGCCTAGAGAATCTTGGTACGGAATCTGCCCAGGTCCATGAGATCCTAGGGTGGAGGCCCCTGTCTACACCCTCGGCCAATACTCCTGGGCTTTGCCTTCCATGCGGCCGACGCAAATGGAATGGAGTTTTTGAACTGGCCCAGGGTCAAAAAACCTTTACAAGCGCATGTACATGATTGGCAGTCGAGCACTTCCGAGCCAGGCGAGAAGATGGAGGAGGAGGAGGAGGAGGCGGAGGAGATGGAGGAGGAGGAGGACTACACCTAGAACAAAGCTGGTAAAGAGGCAAAATCGGATCGGGATGAATCAGGGATCTCTGAGATCGGGCGGCTCTGGAAGATGTATCGGGCGCCGCAGCCGTTGCGGAGCGTTCCGGAACGCTCCCAGAGCGTTCCAGAACGCTCTCAGACGATTCGCCCGTTTCTGGGCCTGTCTAGCAAATAAAAAGGCAACGCTTTTCATCATTTTGAACCTGGTCCCCGTCGTTGCAACAGGGGATTCGGGCTTCCAGTAATAAGTTGGGCTATAACTGGGTCACCCGCGCGTGGGCGGGCATTTCCCAGTCCAGTCTTGAGACAGGCAGGGCTCAACCTAGATAGTAGTGTTTCCCGTTTTCGTTTTGTTATCGTTTTCCTTCATTATGTCTTCGTTCCGCCTTAGCTGCAAAGCGAATTCAAAACGAAAACGGTCCACGAGATCGTCAAAACACCAATTAGGTCGAGCCTTTGGCTACGGACGGGGGGGGCGAGGGAGGCAGGGAGAAAGAGACACCATGAGGGGAGGGAGAAGAGGTGTGCGTCCCCCTCTGGATGTGAAGACGTGGGCTCCCGATTGCCCCCCAAACCCTCACGCTGTGTGCCACCCTCAAGAATGGCCGTGGCCAAAACAAATCAAGCTGGCCCATACTGAGGAGATGGGGTGGTGAAGGAGGTGGGACCCTGCTAGAGCTTTTGGTGGGTTTTGGTGCCCAGGCCTCTTGGGGGATGGTGTACGGTCTGGGCAACAGGGGGAGAGCGACACGCGCGAAGGCAGCGAAGAAAAGGAAGGAATACGGGAGCATCCTTTCGCTCCTCCTCCTCCTCCTCCACCTCCTCCTTCGATCCTGCCCGTCCTCCTCCAAAACTTATCCTTGTTCTCCCTCGTCCTCTGCATCCTCGGTACTATCGCTCCTCATCCTCCTCTTGCGTCTCCGTCGGGGCCCGATCAGAAAGCGTGTCCCGTGTCGGGCTTGTGCTTGTCCCGCTTGTGCTTCCTTCTGCTGGAGCGCGAAGGCGTGCTGTCATCGAAGCCGCCTGCGGCAGCCTCGTCGCCTCCTGCAGGAAGCAGGGGTACACCAAAAATAGCTTGGAGAGACATCCCTGACGTTCAACATCCATGCCATGGGCGCAGCGCAAGGGTGCAAGGTTCCCGAAGTCCACTCTATACTTAATTACACGGCTTTTACACAACTTTAGATCTCGAGAGCTAATCGGAAAACCTGGTACATACAAAACATATCTTCCTTGTGGAGTCCAAAACTCGAACAGCAGAGCGCCCGAAGGGTGTACGAAGACCTGGCGAAGACCGCTCGAAGGACCTGGAGAGAGCTTCCCAAGGACCTTTTCTGGAGAACTTCTGGGCATGAATATTGGAAAACGCTTCGAAAAGGCTCTTCGGGACCCGCTGCAAATTCAACCAAGTTGCGCCGAGGCTGGAAAACGGAAACCGGAACGACCTCCGAGGCTAACCTGCGGCGCCGGCTTCTGAATATGAGACCTTCTTAGATCTCTGCGAGCTATCCGGGAACAGAATGCGAATAATCTTCAGCTCGTAGCTCGAGTATCAGACCGATTGCAGGCCCCCTTTTGATCTGCAGCATTGCTTCGAAAGCGCATAGGTCGATCAGCGTCTCAGAGCCGTGTAGTCGCTCTTCCTGTGAAGTCCAAAACCTGGATGCCCGCCTGCGCGCCTCGAACTGCGGGAATCCGGGCTATCGCTCTTCGCACTCTCGCGCTTCCACCACCCCGCGACCGACTGCGAAGAGCAGTTGCCCTCGCACGTGTGCGTGAGAGCGTCATTATTCCTCAAGCCGCGGACTCGGCGGACGCGCGAGCCGGTCGTAGCAAGCGCTGGGCCAAAGCGTAGCGAAGTGCGCACACGCGGGAGCCCGAAGAGCGTGAATGGCGTTAACTTGCGGAATCAGCTTAACATCGCGGTTCAAATATGAATGCGTCAGCCAACGAGGACCTCGAATCGTGTTCTCCTACATATATATATAAATAAATAAATAACAACTGTGCAACATGTGTGGCAATCCATGTGGTGCAGTCTACGTGGAGCAAAATATGTTGTGCAATCTACGTTGCGCAATGTATGGGGTGCATGCGGTGCAGTGTTACTGAGACGCATGTAAAGTCCAGTCTATGTTGTACGATATGTGGTGCAACATATATTGTGCGGTCTACGTTGTGCAATACATGTGGTGTTGACTATGTGGTGCAATGTGTGAGGTGCGCAGTCTATGTGGTGCAATCGTCGTGGTGCTGTGTGTAGCGCAACCAGTGTGGTGCAGTATAAGAGGTGTAATTCAATCTTGACCGTCTTGAAGCTGTCCCTCCCACCCGCAACTTGATCGCAAGACCTCTTCAGACAAGACCGTGACGGTAGGTACCACATGGCACTTGGCCACGACACCGATGCCGACGACGACAGCGACATCGACGACGACGGCGCCGCCGACAGCGACTGCGACGACACCGACGACGTCTCCAATGTTTTCGACGGCGACAACGACGACGACGACACCGACGACGACGACAACGACGCCGACGACGACGACGAAGACGACGACGACGTCGCCAACGGAGACGACGACGAGGGAGGAGAAAAAACGACGACGGCGACAACGACGACAACGACGATGGAGGAGGGAAGACGGCGACGACGCCAACGACGAAGAAGGAGGAAGGACGGCGACGCCGACGACGACAACGACGAGGGAGGAGGGAAGACGACGACGATGACAACGACGACGAAGACGACGACGACGGCGACGAAATGAAAGGACGACGACGAGACGCCGACGACGGACGACGACGACGAGGGAGGAGGATAACGACGAGGGAGGAGTGAAGACGACGACGACGACGACGACGACGACGACGGCGACGAAATAGGAGGGACAACGACGAGACGCCGACGAAGACAACGAGGGAGGAAGGACGACCACGGCGACAACGACGACGGAAACGACGACGACGCCAAGACGACGACAACGACGACGAGGAAAGACAGAAGACGACGACGGCGACGACGACGACGACGACGAGGGAGGAGGGAGGACGACGACGACGACGACGCAAGAGCGCGCGCGCACGCTTTTGTTGAAAATCCGTGTTGCGAAACCTTGGGTTCTTGTAGGTTTTTTGGACGCACGATTTTGAAATCCTTCCGAAACCGATGGTTTTTGAAGGATTTCGGCATACGCCCGCGACGACGCGCGCGTCTGCACTTCGTCCCATTTTTTGCAGAGGATTCTCGCGACGGCACACGCGCAAGGGCGTTCGACAGATTTCGACATGCGCGCGCGCGAAGCCCGTTTGGTAGCATTTTGTGAAAATCTTGAAAAACCTATGGTTTTCTTAAGATTTCGCAAGACCTCGCGCGGAAGTTTTTTTAGCAAATCAGTGTTGCGAAACCATGTGTTTTTGTATGTTTTTTGGAAACTCGATTGCGAAATCCTTCCGGCACCGAAGGTTTTTGAAGGATTTCGGCATGCGCGCGCGACGACGCGCGCGTGTGCACTTCGTCCCATTTTTTGCAAGGGATTCGCGAAAAAGTGTTATGTTAGAAAAAAATGTCACCGCATAGTGTTTTTTACAGGGAACCGCAGGGGGGGGGAACCCGGCTTGGCTGGGATGGTATGAATTCATATTTAGGATGGACATGTGGTCAGAATCATATGTAATTTACAGCACGCGCGGGGGTCCCGATAAGTCCGGGGGGGGGGTAGAATCTATTAGTCTTTCAGAAAGGAGGAGACTCTGCAGAACTTGAAGTCGTCATCTCCACTGCTCGCGCAAACATCCCACCCACCCACCCGCAACTTGGTTTGCAAAACCTGTTAAGACCGACTACGACGACACCGACGACAACGACTAGGACGACACCGACGTCTCTGACGACTTCGACGACGGCAACGACGCCGACGCCGACGACGACGAAGACGACGACGACGACGTCAACGAAGGCGACGACGAGGGAGGAGAAAGGACGACGACGGCGACAACGACAACAACGACGACAACGACGAGGGAGGGAGGAGGGAGGACGGCGACGACGCGAACGACGACGAAGGAGAAAGGACGGCGACGCCGACGACGACAACGACGAGGGAGGAGGGAAGACGACGACGATGACAACGACGACGAAGACGACGACGACGGCGACGAAATGAAAGGACGACGACGAGACGCCGACGACGGACGACGACGACGAGGGAGGAGGATAACGACGAGGGAGGAGGATAACGACGACGGCGACAACGACAACAACGACGACAACGACGAGGGAGGGAGGAGGGAGGACGGCGACGACGCGAACGACGACGAAGGAGAAAGGACGGCGACGCCGACGACGACAACGACGAGGGAGGAGGGAAGACGACGACGATGACAACGACGACAACGACGACGACGACGGCGACGAAATAGGAGGGACGACGACGAGACGCCGACGACGGACGACGACGACGACGTGGGAGGAGGAGGAAGGACGACCACGGCGACAACAACAACGGAAACGACCACGACGCCAAAGAGGACAACGACGACGAACACGAAAAAGACAGAGGACGACGTAGGCGACGACGACGACGACGACGCGGGAGGAGGGAGGACGGCGACGACGACGACGACCACGACGACGACGCAAGAGCGCGCGCGCACGCTTTTGTTGAAAATCCGTGTTGCGAAACCTTGGGTTTTTGCACGTTTTTTGGACGCACGATTTTGAAATCCTTCCGAAACCGATGGGTTTTGAAGGTTTTCGGCATACGCCCGCGACGACGCGCGCGTCTGGATTTCGCCCCATTTGTTGCAGAGGATTCTCGCGACGGCACACGCGCAAGGGCGTTCGACAGATTTCGGCATGCGCGCGCGCGAAGCCCGTTTGGTACTATTTGTTGTGGAAATCTTGAAAAACCGATGGTTTTCTTCAGATGTCGCAAAAGCTCGCGCGGAAGTTTTGTTAGCAAATCAGTGTTGCGAAACCATGTGTTTTTATATGTTTGTTTGGGAAACTCGATTGCGAAATCCTTCCGGCACCTAAGTTTTTGAAGGATTCCGGCATGCGCGCGCGAAGACGCGCGCGTGCGCACTTCGTCCCATTTTTTGCAAAAGGGATTCGCGAACAAGTGTCTTGTTAGAAAAACAAATGTCACCGCAGAGTGTTTTTTACAACGGAACTTCAGGGGGGGAACCTGGCCTGCCTGGGATGGTATGATTTCATATTTAGGATGGACGAGTGTGCAGTATATATATATATATATATATATATGAAACCGTAGTATCCCAGGGGGAACCGATAAGTCCGGGGGGGGGTAGAGTCTACTCTCTTTAGAGAGGAGAATCTATGCGGTGAAATCGGCGTGGTGCAATATTTGTGGCGAAAAAAGCATATGGTGTGCGATCTACGTTGCGCAATATTGCGGGTTATTCTGCGTGGTGCCAACCAAGTGGTACAATCGATGCTGCGTACTTACGTGGTGCAATCGAATTTGTGCTACTTGGTGGAACTTATATTGTGCAACCAAATGTGTGGCACAACCCATGTGGTGCAATCGACGTGGCGCAATATATGCGGTGCAATTCGCCCTGCCGAATTTGATATTGTCACCTCCGCTGCTTGCGTAATCATCCCGCCCACCCGCCAGCAATTTGGTTTGCAATGCCCAAGCGGCGGCGATTGCGATGATTGCTTGGTGCTGGCGGCCGCGCTAGCGCGCGACTGGTCAGCCGCGACCGGCGGAAAACTGGTCAGCCGCGACCAGCGCGGCCGCGGTGGCGCTGACCGCGGGGAATTACCCGTCGCGTCTCGCAGGCCGTGCTGACGCGCGGGTACTTCAATGCGAACCGGTGGCTCCGACGGGCGCGGTGTCATTGCGACGTCATCGACGGCACGCCAGATGATGATAGTAGCGATACTGGTAAGGACGATGACGACGAGGACGGCAAAACCAATGACGGCGCCAATGCTGAATGACGATGATGGTGTCCACGCGTCGGCGATGAGATGTTTACATGGATTTCGGTTTGCGCGCGCGGCCAAGGAGCGC